TGATTCTCTGCTTGCTGTTTGGGTAGATCTGCCTTTTCCTATGCCATGCTGTCATTCCCTAAAAGAAATTAACCTGTTGTCAGTAGTTTGGGAGGTATCTTTCTATAGATTGTCTATGCTTATACAAACATACCCTCATACTATCTTTCCTCCTGACATGAAAATGGGGATCTTTCCTCCTAATTTAAAAATATACTATATGCCTTCATCTGCAACTTCCTTTTTTAAAAATGAAAAAAAAAATCACAATGAAATCAATTCAGTACATAAACCTTTTTGTTTATAATGTTTTCATGTGGATGGATATTCCATAATTAATCATTTTCCTACAAATGAACATTTAAGTGATACTGATATATATGTTGTACTTTTATTTATGTAGGATAGATTGTTAAAAGTGAAGTTTATGGGAGTATACTTAGATAATGTGTAGGAAGTTTATTATTTTCAAGGAAAATATAAATTGCCTAAAGTGACACAAGCAGTGGAAACCCTGAAGAGCCCAGAAACTGTAGAAGAGCTTGCAAAGATTAGAAGACCTAAGATCTAAAGAGGTACCAGGCCCACATGGTATTTTTGGTGCAGTCATGTAATTTTAAGGAGTAGGCAGTTTTCATGTTTAGTGAAGTAATCTCAGAGGAGATTTTACATATTCTCCATAATGCCAGCATCAAAACTATTAAAGATAGCAGAAAAGAAAATTCTGAATAAAATTTTGACAGATTAAAGACAGTACTTTATTAAAGAATAATTTGCCTAACTAATGTAAAAACAGTTCAACATTATACTGCCTGTTCATTTCATTGTATAGTATACAGGTTTCCTTCACTGTCTGAAAAAAGTGTGTTCCTGTGCCATTCATTTATGTGGAAAAGCTTCAGTGTTCTCAGACCCAAAGAATAGCCTTAGTCTTAGGCTTTTCTGATATCTTAGGGCATATCTTGTTGGTGGAGGCACAGAATAATTGAGATAAAAGCACAGATACTCAGGACACAGTTCAAAGCTGTGGCCACTTGGTGCTGACATGTTGAATTGTAGTTCCTGGGGAAGGAGCTTGCTTGGTGGTCCACTCACTGCTGGGGTGTGTGCTGCCTCTGTAACAGATTGCTGCAGAACTAAGGCTGAACACTGTTTCTGCTCTTCACCTTGTTTTGTAAAACCAGAAATCCTCTTTGGATGTCTTGGTTAGCAAAAACGTACTAACGTAGGTCTTGTAAGTGAAGTGGCATAATGCACACTTCTGAAAAGTGAACTTTCAGAAAGCAGGTGATACCTGTATAGAAAAAAAGTCAAATTTAGATCATTATAATTTTTCCTATTTATTTTTTTCTTTTTAAAATGTTTGAATTTGTTATTTTTCTGTCTTTTTTTTTTTAATAGTGTACTGAGGTCAGGAAGCATATTAGTTGATCACCATTTGTTTTCTATATACAGTACATAAAACTTTTAATTTGTATAACAACACTGCATTAATAACTGTTAATCTGGTAGTGCCGGCTTTTTTACTTACTTTTTTAGGTAACATGGCTCACAAATTAACTGTTAAATAAGCAAAAAATTACTTCGATAGCATGAATTTATATACCCTGAGTGACCTCTAATAGCATAATTTTTTATTTCTTGAGCATTATGTTCGCCTCTAACTTTATGACTATTCTACAGTCTTTTCTGTAGAGGTGTGAGTCGGTACTTGTGTACTGATGTGAGGAGTATGGTGTTGAATGATACCTATTTTGTTTTGATTTCCACCCTTTACTGTCCACATTCCTCAATTTTGTGCTGGCATCAGGTTTGTTCAGAAAAAACTCAGTTGGTTTACTGCAGAATCACTTGCTTTGAGAATTTCAAAAGTTTCGTGGCTTCATGCTACTTTTTGATAACGTTTCATAACAGTGTGGTCTAGAAGCAAAGAGGCCATTTTCTTTACATCTAAATGTAAGCTGTTTGCTTGTGCTGTCATAAGGAAGTATGCCAGTGTGGAGGCCACAGTGATCCAAGGACGACATTTTAAGAAACAGTGACTTAAGGGGGTGCCTGGGTGGCTTAGATAAGCGTCTGACTTTTGCTTAGGTCATGATCTCGCGGTTCGTGGGTTCGAGCCCCGCGTCGGGCTCTGTGCTGACTGCCAGCTCAGAGCCTGGAGCCTATTTCAGAGTCTGTATCTCCCTCTGTCTCTGACCCTCCCCCGCTCATGCTGTCTCTCTCTGTGTCTCTCTCTCTCCTAGAAATAAAAAAAATAAATAAAAAGAAACAGTGACTTAAGGATGACTGGTAATCACTATAAACATTTTTATGTGTGTATTCTTTTTTTTTTTTTTTCTAATGTTTCTTATTTATTTCTGAGAGAGAGAGAGACAGTGCGAGCATGGGAGGGTCAGAGAGAGGGAGACACAGAATCCGAAACAGGCTCCAGGCTCTGAGCTAGCTGTCAGCACAAAGCCTGACACGGGACTTGAACCCACGAACCGTGAGATCATGACCTGAGCTGAAGTCGGCCGTCCAAATGACTGAGCCACCCAGGCGCCCCTTATGTGTGTATTCTTGACTTTTTTACTATGAGTTTGTGTGGGTCCATGTCTGTTCTCTATATACGTATCAATTTTTGAACAAATTAAATCCCAATATGTCTATTGTTTTTCTTTTTTTTTATTGAATGCATCTTTGATCTCTTCCTATTAATAATTGTAGGTTTACAATATTGTTTTTAGAATTGAATAATATTCCATTGAATGAAAATATTATGATTTATTATATTTATAATCTTTTTTTAAGTTATTTATTTTGAGAGAGCATATGTACACACACAACTCAGGGAGGGACAGAGAGAGGGAGAGAGAATCCCAAGCAGGCTCCACGCCGTCAGCACAGAGCCTGATGTGGGGCTTGATCCCACAAACCATGAGATCGTGACCTGAGCCAAAATCAAGAATTGGACACTTAAGCAACCGAGCCACCTGGGTACCCCGTGAAAATACCATAATTTATTTACTGGTGGACATTTTGTTATTTTTGATTTTGTGATTTTGTAAGTGATGCTGCAGTGAACATGATTATTACCTTTAAAGGTACATTTCCAGAAGTGAATCAGTAGTTCTATACTTTCTTTCCAGTTGCGTATAGATTTATATTTTCTTGTATGTTAAATATATATACTATTGTGTATATAACTATATATGTAATATAACTGAATTATTATGTTTATAATAATTGTGAATTAATATATACATAGCAAACTGTTCTTTGTAAAGATTGTATCATTAGTATATCATAGTGACTCTTTTAATAGAAAATGAAATTTTAAAAATGAAGACGTACAAAATACAAGTCCAAATTTTAGATTCAATAGATATGAACCTAACTCTGTAAAGTTGCTACAGTAGTTTCTAAATGTTTACTCTCAGTTTCCATACATATGTCATCATGGACTAGTGACAGGTGTTTCATAGACCATTTTTTTAATAGCACAATTTTATTTTAGCCTAGCGGCCAACGTAGAAGGAGGAAAATGTGGCTGGGGTTTGCATGGGGTGGGGTTTGTATTTCATCCATATATGGTCATTGCTTTTGGAATGGTACCCACTCTCTTACCTGTGTCTGATGTTCCCTATTTAAGAGATTGTGTTTACGTTTTGTAGAGAGTAAACTGCTGCTGTGGTGGGGAATAGCAGTTACCTAGCCTGGAGTGAGAAAGGGAATCTTGGCATCTAACGAGGACTCAAGCAGCTTTCTCCACATTTCTGTTCATTGTAGTTTTCTCCTCCCTCTACCCATTTCATAGTTACTTGGTACTGCCAGTTCCTAAGCCTTTCAAAGATTCAGAGTGTAAAATAGGTTAGTTCTTAGCTTTCCTCACGGTCTATCTCAGATTCAGTTTTCTTGGGTCTGCAGGATCATTTACTAATTTTTCTGCTTTCCAGCATCTAGGAATTTGTTGCTATCATCATGTCTCCAGTTTCCTATTAATTTTTCTTTAAGGACTCCTTAAATATTTGTCATGTTATAAATGTTCTCCTCCTCCAGTCTTTTTTGCTTTACTTAACTATATTAACAAAATATTTACTTTTATTTCTATTTTGTAGATTTTGTTGACAGATATTTCTTCTATAACACATTATTTCTTTTTTTTAGTCCTTTTTTTCTGGTTGAAATTTGATTTTGTTGAAGTATTTACTTGAAACTTCGTTCCAGAAAGAGTATATATGTAGTATATTCTCTAAATAATTTTGCACATCTAAAATTGTGCTTTTCCCTCATTGAGTTTTATATTCTCTTCTCACTGATAATCTTTGGCATTTGAGGAACCTTTGATTTTGAAAATTCAGGCCTTTAAAAAAAAAACCCAAAAACTCAAAAAATTATTTTCTTGTTTTCAAAATTATTTCTCTCCTATATACTACTTTGTTCTCTCTTTTATGACAGTATGTTCTTAGTTTTCTTTTTTTGGTATATTATTTCAAGTCTTACTAAAATTGCTAATTGCCACTTGATTCTTCCTCTTTAAGCCTTCTCCTTTTTCCTGAAGTAGTGGCTTTCATGTAGTTACTATTTTTCATTGCTAAATGGGGCAATGAGGAAGGGTTTCTCAGTGTTCAGATTATTTTCTCTATTTTGAGCTGCTGCATAGTGATGTTTGTGCCTAGTCCCCATTTTTTTGAGAGAGAGAGAACCTTAAGCAGGCTCCACACTCAGTGTAGAGCCTGACGCGGGGCCTGATCCCACAACCCTGGGACCATGACCTGAGCCGAAATCAAGAGTCAGATGCGTACCCACCTTAAGCACCCAAGTGCCTAGAGATGAATTCTTTAGGAATGAACCAATTTTTTTTCAGTTTTTTTAGTTGTAAGGAGGTGGAAAGTTAATGAATTTTTTTCCTGACAGCTTAGAGATAATTTACTTATGTGAATAAAGGACAGAACTGTTAAACAGAGAAAGCTAGGCATGGATAGAGGAAGATTTATCTTTGTTCAGAAATAATTTTCTCTTTATAACTTTCCCAACAGCTGGTGCTAGCAACTCCCAACTCGGCCCCTGGACTCCGCTCAAAACTCCGGATTCATTCTCTTCCTTCCCATACCTCAGCCTGAGCTTTCTGTCTCCCCAAAGGGTACCACATGATCTTCCTCTCAAGTTCTCACTTCTTCGAATCCCAAGGTATGTAGGGAAGGAGTAGGCCGAATTCTCTCCTTTACTTTCCTACTTAGGACATAGTAGATGCTTATTATATGTTCATTAAATGCATGTTCCCTAGTGAAATTCCTCTTTGAGAGTGGTGGTTGGCAGTGAATTAACATTTGTTTTCACTCTCCTCTCTGGACTCTATCTTAGCAAACACCTTGCAATATGCGTATGGAATGTTTTTCTAGTTTCTTGTCATTTTGTAGGACTTTCTTTATTATATTTTTCAGTTTGTGTTCTAGTGAGCAATTGGAAGAAGGAAATCAAATGGCATAAGTTGCCACCCTGATACAGGAAACTCTCCAGGTTACTTGAAAGGGCCAGGCACACTTTATGCAAATAGTATTATTTCAAGGCTTGATGGGATGTTGGCTAAGTCTTATGAGGTATTAATATGTAGAGAGAGGACAGTAGTTTAAAGGGGAAATTTAAAATCAGTAATCTTTGTTGGTAAGGTAAAGCTTGAACTGTAATGAAAAGAGCATTAACCTAGTAGGTTGGAAGATTAAAATGATAATAAAATTCCTCATTCTTTTTTTTATGTTATCTGAGATGTTCCCAACACACAATACATTTTCGCCAATAAGTGGTAACCATATTGTAATTTGCTACCAGGTGCCATCTTTGATTGCTTCCACATACTTAGGTTGAACATAGTTGAAGACAAATAGATTTTCTGCATTTCAAATTCAAAGGTGAAAAATCCCAAATTACCTAAAATATACAAACTCCCCTAGTACACTTTTATATATGCCATACGTTAAATATAAAAAATATTGATATTTAGTATTAATTACTTAACAGTTACTAAACTTCAGTAAAAGCTAAGTGGATTTCTTTTTTTTTTTCTAATTTTTTAAAAATGTTTTATTTAATTTTTGAGAGAGAGAGAGACAGAGCATGAGTGGGGGAAGGGCAGAGAGAGAGGGAGATACAGAATCCGAAGCAGACCTCAGGCTCCAAGCTGGCAGTACAGAGCCCGACATGGGGCTTGAACCCATGAACCGTGAGATTGTGACCCGAGCTGAAGTCGGATGCTTAACTGAATGAGCCACCCAGGGGCCCCGTTAAGTGGATTTCTTAATAAGATGGTCCCTTTTATTAACATTTTGCCTGTGAGGAAAGGACATGCACTTTAATGGATGAACTTTGTGAACTCTATTTTGGCTGCCATGTATACCACTTAATTGTTTCCTTTTCTTTGTGTCCTGGACCGATGAGGTTGCTGAATGGTCAACTCTGAACAAGCAGTGTATTAATGTATGTGTCTTGCCTCTTCCTTCAGATTGTAAGCTGTAGTAGGGTAGGGACCATGTTTTTGAATCTTTCCACAGCACCCATCAAAATGCCTCACAATCGTAGTTGGTATTTTTAGTAAGTGTTGGTTGATTGAGTTATTTAAAATTTTATTTTTAAACTGGTCAGAGTCTGGGGTATGTGTTATAAGAAAAATTTTAAGTTGTGTAGATATTTTGAAATATAATTGATGATATTTAGAAATATTATCAATTTTTAGCATTACATATATAATTTTGGATGCACGTACTTATTACTGCAAGAAACAATTTGCCTTTTGTAATAAAACCCACGATATAGTCTCATTGATTATATTTATAATAGAAAGGCTTGAGTATGGATAATCCAGAGTGACCATAATATGGTATTTAGGCAAATGGAGAAGAATTATTATAGGTGTTCTTATTTTTTTAAAGTGGTTTTTATTTATTTTTGAGAGAGAGAGAGAAAGACAGCGTGAGAAGGGGAGGGTCAGAGAAAGAGGGAGACACAGAATCTGAAACAGGCTCCAGGCTCTGAGCTAGCTGTCAGCCCAGAGCCCATTACAGGGCTCAAACCCACGAACCGTGAGATCATAACCTGAGCTGAAGTCGGCCACCCAGGCGCTCATAAAGGTGTTCTTGAAAGTTGCACATGTTTGAATCTCACCCTCAGATTCTAGTATGGTGAAAACTCCATGGGTGATTATAATGCTGGTCACTGTTGAGACTGTGACTCTGTAGGAAGTCTCAGTTGGTATAGAATATCCACCAGGTGTTATTAACTTTCTTCTGGCCATTTATTAGTTTTTTTTATTTTTGAAGGAAAAGTTTTTACATTGAGCTTTAAATAATATAGTAAGTTTTTAGCAAAAATTTTAATAATTTACTGAGTTAGACACAGTACGTAAACACATTTAGGAAACCAGTGTGTGCTTTGGCAGCACTCACACTAAAATTGGAACAAAACAGAGAAGATCAGTGTGGTCCGTGCACAAGGATGATACACAGAGTCATGAAGCATTCCGTAGTTTGTGCATTCCTAAGTGTCCTACCAACCAATGCAGATTAACTCCAAGGAAATGATACGAGTCAGAAGACAGCATGTGGTACTGAATAATGAAATTATGATTTTTCACTATTAAAAAAAATTCAGTAAATTGGTATCCTGTTCATGAATTTATTATCACCTTAGTATTTATATATTTGGAGACTATTAAAGAATGTACTTTTTAGACCCAACCAAAATTAAGTGTGAGAAATATTAAAAGAGTCTCTTAATATGTAAAGTAATTTCTTTTATTTATGTTTTCTTAATAAAGGACTTCTGAAATAGTAATGTTTCTTGTTACTTAGATTAATTGAAAACATTTTTTTATGTTTTCATTTATTTGATCTCTTTGTCCAACATGAGGGTTGAACTCACAACCTCGAGATCAAGAGTTGAATGCTCTTGCAACTAAACCAGCCAGGTGCCCCTAAATGAATTGAAATTTAAAGCTGAGACCTTTAATAGACATTATGGGTGAAACTCAGTGTGATTTATACTTTATTTTCTTTAGCTTATCTAATCTTCTCTATTATTCATAATATATAAGATCACAAAAGTAAGAAAATACAATTTTTCTAATATACATTTTGATATTTTACTGAACCTTCAGTATTCAGATTCCATCCAATCTCAGCAATATATTATCATGTCTTATTACTTTACTATTTTTTATACCTTTGCAGTTTGACTCATAATGTGTCATTCCATGGTAATCACAGTAATGATAGCTACAATTTGTATAGCACTTTATAGGATACTGTTACATATATTTTCTTATTTAATCTTTACAACAACCCTGTGAAAGGTGAAGTAACTCATTTTTTTTTTTCACTTTATAGATGAAGAAACGAAGACAGAGATTGAGACTTGTCTAGAGTAACACAAACCAGTAAGTGTTGGAATTAATGGAGGCAGGTAGTAATGGGTGCATTTTCGTATGCCAGGGGCTTTCCTTGCTGCCATCTACCTGGGTTCTAGGGACAAAGAGCCAAGGTGGTCAGGAAACAAAAAGGTAGTAGATAGACTTTAGTCGTACCCCAGCAAAATGTGCTACCCCTTTTAATTTCCTTTTATTATTCTTTACCATTTAGTAGTAATAACTTGAAAGAGCACGTAATGTCTTTTTGTTGTTGTTGTTGTTAGATAAATGAAATTTATTTTAAACATAAGTTATCCCTGAGGCATGTAGGAAATAGGAAATCTGGAAGGAAGTATGTTGAATATCTCCCAGGGTGGTAGCTATAGGGTCAGCTAAGGAAGTGAGAAAGTTAATAGTACATGTGTATAATGGGAACTTAAATTTTCATGGCTCTCATTAAGATTTTTAAAATCCTGTTTAAAGATTGTAATGTCAATTTCATATAACAATCTTAGAGCTTAAAGGTGCTTATCCAGTTGTGGTTTTCTTTAGATTACAAAACTGAGGTGCATAGAAGTTGAAGCTTGCCTGGTGCCCCACAGAGCAGCTGCAGGTATAGTGCGTAGCTGCTGACTTCCCGATTAGCACCATCTCTACTTCCAAATCTTACTTTTTGGTAAGCTGTCATGATAGTACTCCAGTCTTCTATCTCTTTTTTTTATGTGTTTGATCAGCATTGCCATTTTATATCAAAATGAACTTTAAAATTAATGAAATTTACTGATGCTAATGTGATGAAAATTCAATTCTCTGTTTGATTTCAGGTGAGTTAATGTGGGAAAAATCCTCGTGTTTTGAAGATGTCTCGCCACAGTATTGTTTCCTGTTTAAATTACAAGTAGCTTCAGTGTTTAGAGAAAATAGAAATTGGGGTTTTTGTTAAATCATGCCATCTGAACAGAAACAGTTATTTTTTGATGAAAAACAAACTATTTTAAGAAAAGATTATGATGTGAAAAATGAGATAGTTGATAGTATCAGATCAATGCTTAGGCCAAAAATTTCAGAAAGTAGTTTTCATTATGAACTAAAAAATGTGAAAATTGATTTGCCGAAGATAAATATTCCAAATGAAGTCTTTTTGAAACATGAAGTTGACAAATACAGAAAGTTATTTCAGCGTCAACCACAGACTGCAAGAAAATCTATCAGTATAAGGAGTATAAGTTGTGTAGAAGAGTGTATGCTGCTCCATAAGTCTGAGAGAATTGAAGAAGAAGGTTTAAAAATGTCAGCAAAAATACTCAATTTCAACTGTTTAAAATGCCGAGATAGCACTCGATATAGCCCAAATGATTTGCAGAAACACTTTCAGATGTGGCACCATGGTGAATTACCTTCATATCCTTGTGAAATGTGCAGTTTTTCAGCAAATGACTTCCAGATATTTAAACAACACAGACGGACACACAGAAGCACTTTAGTAAAATGTGACATTTGTAACAATGAGAGTGTGTATACTTTATTAGACTTGACAAAGCATTTTACATCCACACATTGTGTTAATGGTCATTTTCAGTGTGAAAAGTGCAAATTCTCCACCCAGGATGTTGGCACATTTGTTCAGCACATTCATAGACATAATGAAATCCATTATAAATGTGGTAAATGCCATCATATATGTTTTACCAAAGGAGAGCTTCAGAAGCACCTTCACGTTCATTCTGGTACATTTCCCTTCACTTGTCAATATTGTAGCTATGGTGCCACTAAGAGAGAGCACCTCGTGAGACATGTTATAACTTTGCACAAAGAACACTTATATGCGAAAGAAAAACTGGAAAAAGACAAATATGATAAAAGGATGACAAAGACTTCAGCAGGACTTAAGCTGATACTGAAAAGATACAGAATAGATGCATCAAGGAAGACATTCTGGAAACGCAAGAAGATCAACAATGGAAGCGACAGAAGTATAGAAAAAAACCCTCAAATGCTAAAAAAACTGAACAGAACACAAGCTAAATCTGAAGACCAGAGCCATCTTGTTCAAGAGCATTTAAATGAAGAAAAGGATGAAAGACCACACTGTGCGAATAATGATAAACCTGCTGAGTTAGAGTCAGAGAAGCCAACTCTTCTGTCCACTGGGCAATGTAATAGAGCTGAAGAGGGATCAAATTCTACTCTAGGTTTCTTAAAGACTGCTGTACAAGGACCTACAGTGTTAATGGTGAAAAATAATAGAATAACAATTCCTGCTAACTATAGTGCTGATTTTATGGGTTTTAAGATGGTGGATGGAAAACAACATATTGTAATAAAATTGTTGCCTACCAATAAACAAAATTTATATTCACCAGGCTCACAGTCAGATGCTACAAAGGATGGTACTGCCAGTTTGCAGCCCCAGACTCTGGACACTACTGGATTTTTAGCAGGAGTAACAACTGAGTTAAATGACACCATTTATATGAAAGCAGCTACTCCGTTTTCGTGCTCATCTCCTATACTTTCAGGGAAAGTAACATCAGAAAAAGAAATGGCTTTGGTGTCTCAAACAGGTAATATGCTTCAAATGGTGGATGATGAAAAAGGTGTGTCGTCTTTGTCAGCATCAGAATTGGTTACAGCATCAGTGAATTTGACCACAAAAGTTGAAACAAAAGATAATATTGATCTATGGGGAAGTTATATTCCTGAGAGTCACCCTGAGATACCAGGTGCTACCATTAAAAGTCCAGATACAGTCAACTCTACTACCAAACAAAATGCACATGGCAGTGGAGATATGCATAACTATTGCATTAATTATGTCAGCTCTGAGTTACCTGTTGAATCTTCCAACCAAGGATCATTACCCTTTCATAATTACTCAAAAGTAAATAATCCTAATAAACGTCGTAGGTTTTCAGGAACAGCAATGTGTGAAAACCCTCAGAAGGAACCTTCATCGAGCAAGACAGTTGTCCAACAGCCAATAAGTGAATCAGTTTTATCACTGGTGAGGAAGGAGAGCTCAAATCCAGATAGCATGTTAGCATCTATAAGCCTTTTAAATAGTAAAGATGGAACTTTAAAAATGCAAGCTGAAATTGAAGAACAATGTGTGTTAGAAAAAGGACAAAACATTGATGGACAGAACTTATACTCCAATGAAAATCAAAATTTAGAGAACATGACTGAAAAATCTAAGTGGGATGGCATTTCTAATGTTGACTCACCTATGATGCCTAGGATCACATCTGTTTTCTCTCTCCACAGCCAACAGGCATCAGAATTTTTGCCACCTGAAGTAAACCAGTTACTCCAGGATGGATTAAAAACAAAATCTGAAGTAAAACAGGACTCTAGTAAGACTCCAGATAAAGTCCTCCCACTTCATTGTGACCAACCATTTCAGAGACCTGAGGGAGAAGGCAAAATAGTTGAATCTTCAAAAGACTTCAAAGTACAAGGCATCTTCCCAATTCCGTCTGGTAGTATAGGGATTAATGTCCCTATAAATGATCTGAATTTAAAGTGCAGTGGAAAAGAAAAACAAAACCTGTCAATATCACAAGATGTGAGAGATTCAGAAAAGACACCTAGAATTTCAGGTATTGGCACATTACTTAAGACTCAGTCAGATGCAATAATAACACAGCAGCTCGTAAAAGATAAACTGCGAGCCACTACACAAAATTTAGGTTCTTTATATAGGCAGAGTCCACTTCTAAATTCAGAACCAAGAAAAGCTATATTTGTTCAGACTCCAAAAGGTGTTTTTGTACCACTGCACATTGCTAACAAGCCTGGATTACATGTTGTTTCAGGAAGACCACTTCCATTGGTTAATACACAAGGTGTACCTGCTTCTTTTCTTTTAAACAAGAAACCTGGGATGATTTTAACGTTTAATCATGGGAAACTTGAAGGTGTTTCCGCTGTCAAAACTGAGAGCGCTCAAGCTTGTGGAACTACAGCTAAGGAACCTTGCAGAACACCTTTCTTAAAGGTGGAACCCAACAGTAATTGTCTGACACCTGCACTTTGTTCCAGCATTGGCAGTTGTTTGAGCATGAAAAGTAGCTCCGAAAATACTTTGCCATTAAAAGGCCCTTACGTTATTAAGACGTCAGCAAGTTCTTCAGTGAAAGCTGTTCCTACTCCTAATGTAGCTTCTGAGCACCAGGGCACCAAGCTGAATATCTTGGAATCAGTAAAACAGCAGAACGAGATTTTTCCCAAACCACCTCTTTATACCCTCTTGCCTGATGGCAAACAAGCTGTTTTTTTAAAATGTGTGATGCCAAATAAGACTGAGCTGCTTAAGCCTAAATTAATCCAAAATAGTATGTATTATCAAAACATACAGCCAAAGAAACCTGAAGGAACACCACAAAAAATATTGCTGAAAATTTTTAACCCTGTTTTAAATGTGAGTGCTGCTAACAATCTGTCTGTAAACAACTCTGCATCCTCATTGCAGAAAGACAAGGTATCATCTAATCAGACTACAGGAGGAGAGCAGAGAGAGCCAGAATCTTCTAGAGATGCCTTACCCTTCTTACTAGATGATATGATGCCAGCAAATGAAATTGTGATAACTTCTACTGCGACATGCCCAGAATCTTCTGAGGAACCTGTGTGTTTCACTGACCGTTCAGACACCAGGGTGTTAAGGTGTAAAACGAATTGTACAATTGAGAGAAGCTTCAATAGAAAAAAAACTTCCAAAATAAAAACTCATGTAAGAAGTAAAGATTCTGAAACTGCCTTTGTACCTAGAAACAGGAACTGTAAACGAAAGTGTAGGAATAGTTACCAAGAACCTCCAAGAAAAAAAGCAACATTACATAGAAAGTGTAAAGAAAAGGCAAAACCTGAAGCTGTCCGTGAATCGTTTGGATTTAGCAGACCGAGGCTTTCAAAAGATGCAGTCAGAACTTTGCGGCTTTTCCCATTTAGTTCCAAACAGCTTGTGAAATGTCCTAGGAGGAACCAGCCAGTTGTAGTTTTGAATCATCCTGATGCAGATGCCCCAGAAGTAGTAAGTGTGATGAAAACTATTGCTAAATTTAATGGCCGTGTGCTTAAGGTTTCATTGTCAAAAAGAACTATTGATGCTTTACTGAAACCAGTTTGTGGTAACGCTTCACAATCAATTTATGATGATTTTTCCAAGAGGCATAAAACATTTAAACCTGTTAGTTCTGTGAAAGAAAGATTTGTGCTAAAATTAACACTCAAAAAGACAAGCAAAAACAATTATCAGATCGTGAAATCTACCTCTGAAAATGTTCCAAAAGCTAAGTTTAACTGTTGGTTTTGTGGTAGAGTATTTGACAATCAGGATGCTTGGGCTGGTCATGGGCAGAGACATTTAATGGAAGCTACTCGTGATTGGAATATGTTAGAATAATTTACTGTAGTTCCCAAGGAAAAGAGAAGTAAAATCATCTTAGAAGAAAACAGTGGGACAAATTACCTTAAGGCAGACATTTTCTACTTTAGTATATACCTAAAATTGGACATTGGAAAGTAGGCTATATTTCCATGGGAGACTAAAAAAGTTTTATGTGTGATATTTGCAAATGCTGTCACTGCACACATAAGTTTTGAAAGAAACTAATCACAGCACAGGTGTACCTTGATTTAGTTTTTTTTTTTTTTTTAATGTGTTCTTGGGAAGTTAGGGCTAAAGAAAATTTTGATAAAGCAGTTTTCCCAATTTAGTTATTTAGGGACTCTTAGTAGAGGGTAACAGCTGACAACTCCATTCCCTCTATTCTTCCACCAGCCTTAGGAGTCTGGTAAGTGTAGCTCCTCTGAAGATGGAGAGAGCTCTTTTACCAAGGAGCTGAAGGAGTTCCTCGTCATTTGTGAAGATATACTAAGAGAACTTGAGTAAAGAATTTAACTTTACATCTGCTAAATAGAGCTGATTTGAAGGGTATTAGGTTCCTTTGAGTAGCTAACTACAGTTACACCTCTTGATGCTTGAAAAGAGTTTGTGACAAGTAAATCTTTTTTTCTTTTATGCTGTGTCCCACATCAAGGATTGGAATACCCTCCCAAGGTGATTTTCTTTTTCTAAATGGCTGTGTCAAGCACTGCAGTAGATGGGAAGCCTTAAAAGAAGAATTAAACTCTCTTGGTCTAGTTTGAAGTCTAGTGAAAGAACTTGAACATTTTTCTGAATTTAATGATAATCTCCAGTGATTCTCTTGCACAGAACTATGCTTATTTGATTTAAATTGTTTGTCCCTCATAAACCAAATGGCCCATTTTTGACTTGGTTGCCATCCATTTGAAAAGTGGACCATAGAAGCACTTCCAAGGGAATGGCTTTTCTTGAAAATTAAAAATTATTCTACAGAAACCGTATTTTGAAACAAGATTAGCAAAGCAAATCAGACTTTTGCTATTTAATTACTGCTAGGTGTCTGAACATGTACACTTTGAGACAAACCATTTTTGGTATTAGCACCTTTTCAGTATGATTGACAACCCAAAGCAGATTATCTACTGCTTGTTGGCAGTTGAAATTAAGAAACATTAATAGTGGATTCAGTGACAGTGCATAAAATTTCAGGACAGATTCCTAGGGGATGTACCCAGCAGGTAGGGTGTTAAAGTGGATATTTTCATGACAACAACAGAATAATTGACTGAAACTTCACCATGTAAGTTTGGATCAAGTTTTATTGGATCATTGGCTAATGGAGTTCTTGTGTTAAATTACTGTATAATTTTTTGTTATATTGTTACTACAAGTGTTACAACATTTTCATTGACTGAAAATTTCAGGGCTTCTTTTCTGTATATAAGAAAGAATTTAAACCTGTACATATTTTTGTACCTTTCAGTTTGTTATGTAAATTTTGCACAGAAAATTTTTGACATAAAAAGTTTATTTTCTTTCCATTTAGTTCTGTGCATGCACTAATAAAACTGGTTGTTTAATTTAAAAGGAATATGTAAGACTTTACCCATGTTATTTTCTTGGTTTTTATTTCAGATGTAGAATTTTTTTTTTGGGTAAATTCATTTTTCAGGGATTGAACACTATTGTTAGCAAGTGCCTAAAAGATGTGAAACAGTTTACATATGTCAACTGTAACAGTAGGTCCCAAATGGGCCCATTTCCCCAAAAGTTTTATTTTAAAGAAAGCCATACATAGATGCTTCAAGCTATCTTGCTATGCACATTATACATGTACTTTTTTTGTGCAGTTTGTCTACTTTCCTAGTGAAGTATTTTTTGTATAAACCTGTTATAATTGTGTTTCTTAAATTGAGCCTCAGAATGGAGTTGATTGGAAATATACAGTATATATTAATAATGTATATGGTGTTTAAAGAATGATAAGCATTGTTAATTTCTGTAATGAGCATTTTCTTCAATTAAATTTATCTTAAGTTTGTGTTTACACAGTAACTTTTTTTACTGTACTGAAGTCAAATGGGAATTTTATTCTAATGGGAGATAGTTCTATTTCAGAATGGTTTGCTTCCTTATATGCTAGGGAACTATGTCAAATAAAGTGTGGATTTTTTCCCCCAGAATCATAGATGAAATTTTGAAATTTTGTTTGAGAAGGGGGTGACATTTACCATAAAGTTACTATAGATATGCTGAATGCAAAAATCATAAGGAGGCTTATGCTCTTTAGTACCCTAACAGCAATAAAATTGAAATGCTCTGCTGTTATGGGTAGATGTATTATAACTCATTGCCTTCCATGAATAGAAAAGAGAGCAGCAACTATCATGCCAGTGTTTGCAGAATTATAAAAACTTTGGAATAGCCATGCCAGTAAAAATCTATCTAATATTGTGATACATGCTTTTTGCCTTAACATTTTAAAAGTCATTTTAAAAAGCTTCATGTCCCAGATACTCTAGTTAGCTCCTTTTCTGATTTGCTAGGTTATTCTGAAGAAGGCACACTTTCTTGGAACCTCTCTATTGCCAGAGTGGAAAATCCAAATCAAAACCCTCCATCCTTTCTTTTCTCCTAGCTGAAACTGAACTAAAGATTGTTCCCTAAAATAGGAATATCCAGTACTTTGAGGTTGTGACTACAACTGGAAGGGTTTTATTTTTGCAGTCCAACTTCTTGGTCAGGAAATTGTTTCATTTTTTCCTACTTGTCCATCTCCATGGAAATGAGCCTCTCTGGTATTCGATTGAAAAAATAGTTTAACTTTCAAAGAGTTTACCTTTCTATCTTACTAAGCACTCAGTGTATTGAAATGTGAATATATATATATATATATAAATGAAAAATGTGGTTTTGTTACGGGGTCAGCAAAGTTGATCAGTAAAGGGTAAGTTAAGCTAGCAAATAACTTAGGCTTGCTTTGTAGTCCATTTAGTCTCTGTCATAACTTCTTAAAGAGCCATGAGCTAAATCTGGCTGCCAAACTGTTTACTAACCCTTGCTATAGTTCTCTCAAATCTTAGAGTGGGATTTTTATTTTATTATTATTATTTTTTTTTACAAATAGTTTATTGTCAAGGTGGTTTCCATATAACACCCAGTGCTCATCCCCCCAAGTGCCCTCCTCTGTGCCCATCTCCCCCCTCCCCCCACACACCTATCCGTCCTCAGTTTGTTCTCAGTATTCAAGAGTCTTTCATGGTTTGCCTCTCTCCCCCTCCGCCACTGTTTCCCTCCTTTTTCTCCCCCTTGGTCATCTGTTAAGTTCCTCCTAATCCTACTATACTTGCAAACATGGTATTTGTCCTTCTCTGCCTGACTTATTTCACTCAGCATAACACCCTTAAGGTCCATCCATGTTGCTACGCATGGCCAGATTTCATTCTTTCTCATTGCCATGTAGTATTCCATCGTACAGATAAACCACATCTTCTTGATCCATTCGTCAAATGATGGACACTTAGGCTCTTTCCATGTTTTGGCTATTGTTGAGAGTGCTGCTATGAACATTGGGCTACATGTGCCCCTGTGCATCAGCACTCCTGTATCCCTTGGGTAAATTCCTAGCAGTGCTATTGCTGGGTCATAGGGGAGTTCTGTTGTTAACTTTTTGAGGAACCTCCACACTGTTTTCCAGAGGGGCTGCACCAGTTTACATTCCCACCAGCAGTGTAGGAGGGTGCCCGTTTCTCCACATCCTCACTAGCATCTAGAGTCTTCTGATTTGCTCATTTTAGCCATAGAGTGGGATTTTTAAAGTTAAAAACAAATTTGGTGCAGTTTTTTTGTGATGTACACCAGCTGTATAAAAGTTACAAAATATAAAAACTAAAATATACATATAAAGTTACCAATGTAGATGTGTTTAAAAGTGAAGAAAATGTAAATGAAGAGAATTGGTGGGTAAAATAGACGGGTCATCTGTGCATAAAGGGTACTGTAATTTATGGAGGGTTTAATGAGATCAAACAGTTGCTGTGAGAATTTATGTTCAGGTTAGGTGAGAAATACTAGTTCTTTAAGTGATTTGAAATAGCGGTTAAGAAAAGTATTAAGATTCTTGGGGTGGGAGAGAATGGAGGTGAGGTGAAAACTATTACATACAGCTGAATTACTGATTTTTTTCCATTTTTGTTTTGGTTTTTATTTTTCACCATTGACATCTGCTTATTTATCTTGGGATTGGTCCCATTTCCGTCGGGGTATTGACTCTGTTCCTTACTTTAGCAATTTGCTAGCATTCTTATTTTCAACAAAGTGCCTTGACTCCATTTTGGATCTTATCTGGTGAAACTTACTGGGGGAGTTTTCAGGGCATTATTTGTTGCTAGTTAAGAATAGCATTAGCAGGGGCGCCTGGGTGGCTTAGTCGGTTAATCCCTTAGGTCATAATCTTGCCGTTCGTGGGTTCGAGCCCCGCGTCAGGCTCTGTGCTGACTGCCAGCTCAGAGCCTAGAGCCTGTTTCAGTCTGTGACTCCCTCTCTCTCTGACCCTCCCCTGCTCACGCTGTCTCTCTCTCTCTCTCTCCTAGAAGTAAATAAAAATATTTTTTAAAAAAAGCTTCCTCATCTTTAAAAAAAAAAAAATAGCATTAGCAGAAAAATTTCCCAATAATGCAGAGTTGAAATAGGATCAGCTTTGTTGATTTTAGTGTTCGTTGATTTAAGTATGTTCCTAATTGTACAATTGAGAAGTAGTATCTTGGAAGAGGTGTTTGACAAAGTTTTCCTTGAATTATTTGCTTTTAGTTCCGTCTTTTGAGCTTCTGTTAATAAGTGTCCCCAATTTAAGAATCTTCTTTAAAAAAATACATATCATTATTATGACGTTGTAAACATTTGAGTAAAAAGTGTAGGAAGAATGTTAATATGTACATCAGTTTCAGAAATCATGATTTTGTTTTAGTCAATGCCAAGAATGTACTTACATAAAAATGCTGATTCCTAGTAAAGTCATTTTTAGTATTTTCCTTAAAATACTATCTTCCTTAAAATACTTCAGAGTCCTTTAACCAAAAGTGAAGATAATGTTCAGTTTGTGACTGAAACTGCTTCTTTCAGTTAAGGTGCCTGTTATCAGTTATTTCATAGATTATTGCTAATGTAAAAAGACATGCAAGCAAAATGAAAAACTTGGATAGAGACCAAAATACTATTTACAAATGACTTCATTTCAATATTTTGAAAATCCGAAGGAGTGCACTGGAAATTAGCTTTTTTGAACACTTAATAGTAATCAATTGCAAAATAACAAAAGACCCATTTAGGGGCGCCTGGGTGGCTCAGTTGGTTAAGTGTCCGACTTCGGCTCAGGTCATGATCTCACTGTTCGTGGGTTTGAGCCCCGCATTGGGCACTGTGCTGACAACTAGCTCAGATCCTGGAGGCTGTTTCAGATTCTTTATCTCCCTCTCTCTCTGACCCTCCCCTGCTCACGCTGTCTCTCTCTCTCAGAAATAAATAAAACATTTAAAAAAATTAAAAGACCCATTTATGGTAAGAGCCACAAAATAATAAATTTAAAAGCTGTGTGAGGTTGCTGAAGGAAAACCCACAAAACCTAACTGGGAGATACACAGTATCTCTGGGGATGTGTTTAAATATATTCCTGTTTGGTACGTCCCATTTTCCACACAGGTGTCCCACAAGAGGCTTATATCAAGTGGAGACGGCAGCCAGTTAGTTAGTGGCGCCCATTGTACCAGTCTCAAATCCTGCAGTGTAAGGAGAATCAGAGCAGGCAGCTACTCTTACTGTGCAAGTCCCCGTTTCCCATACAGCTGTGTTGCAAGAGATCTGCTCTGGTGGGGTTGGCATCCAAACGGCAGCTCCTGTCTCCCCTAGCTTCCTGGGAGCAGCAGAGCTATTCTGCGTACATTCAGCAGCTGGTGAACATTAGCAGATTCCATCCTCCCAGGTTCTGGGCTATAGAAGGTCCATACTGAGAGGTGATAGAAGATGGTCTCCCACGTCCTTCTGTAGCCCCTGACACAGCTACTCTGCAAGGAGGAACTAGGAGACATTGAACAAAGAGCCAGTTTCCCATACTCCACCCCACCCCCAACCCAACATGCTCCATAGCACCAAGGTACAGGGGTTCTGTTCAAGGGAGGTTTGAGACACTTCCCATTACCAGAGCCCTAACTTTATCTCGAATAGATTGGAGCAGGTACAAACTGCTGATGTTAAAAACAAAATGTTGAAAACAATAGAACAATAGCTAGCAATAAATGGAGGCTAAGAGTTACTGGTGTTTATGTTCAAGGCTGCAACCACTTAGGAGCAACCAGAGGGAGAACATGTGGGCTACAAGTCCCTGACAGAATGTAGGGCAATCTTATAAACTACCTAGATAGTCAAAGGAGATCCCAGGCCCCATACAGACCCAGTGGTAAGGAGTTTAAATCTCCCTAACTCAAGGGGCTTATGCACAACCTCTTATTAATTAATGGCTGATCATAAAATGATGCTGACTCAGAAGCAACCCCTAGGAAGTCCGGCTTAAAGATAAAACGCTGTGAAGGGATATAAACTTCATGAATTAGTCCAACTTAGTCACTACATAAAACTAGGCCTGGAGTGGAGAGAACTACTATGCAGAGAACCTACAGCATGTTACCTAAAAAGTCCTGTTTTCAACACAACATTATGAGACATTCAAAGAAACGGGAAAGTGTGACACATGGGCAAAAGCAGGCAATAGAAACTTCCTTTGAGGGATACCAGATGTAGAGTAAGTCTTAGGCAGCAATTATAAACATGTTAAAAGACCTAAAGGAAACCAGGTTTAAAGAACTAAAAGAAATGCTGACAGTGACTCATCAAATAGAAAATGGAAATAAAAAGATAGGAAATTAAAGAACTAAATGAAAATTTATGGAGCTGAGAAGTTCAGTAGCCAAAGTGAGACTTTTTTCTAGGGGAGGGGACTCAACAATAGATTTTCACTGTCAGAAGAATGCACAAATCTGAAGATAGATGGAGAGA